ATGCATATCTGATGGCTTGAGCAAGGCCAATTTAGGGACAACCAAGAAATTCGGAAGACCAAAAGACGATGATGCACGGCTATAGAGTAAGAAGAAGATCTTTAGAGAAATAAAGAATGCTACATATGAAAATTGAAGTTCGAAAAATTTGGATATATAATTAGGGACATAGCATGGTTAGCATGTAAATATAGTGAGGAATAAGTCTGCAGAGGTAGTTATCGATAACATGAACGAGAGTAAATGGGAGAAATATGAAGATGAGCAGAGATAAATTTAAAAAATTAGAGAAAGGTGACAGCAAATAAACTGAGTTATGCTTGACGGGATTCACGGACTGACCACCTCAAGATAGTCTCTCTTCTAAGCATACCTGAGTGAATCTAGTTTCTTTTTTAACTGCAAATTTTCTGCGGCCGCCAGCATCTCGCTATTAAGGTGCGCCAGGGGGCGGCTAGAGTCAAACAACGGGAACCCGGCCTAGTCTGTCCCAAATGTACTGCTCAATGCAAATACCTGAGCACTTGAAGCTAAGGGATTACTAGTATTCCAATGCAGTAGCTAGTTTGGTATTGGGAAAATTACCCCTAATCTGCATTCTCGCTAGTGCCACTCACCAGTCAAGGCTTGCCAGCAGTCGTTTCTGTCTCAAATCGCTAGTCCTGGGCCTGAATCTGCTCGGATATGAAATTTGGGCCTCTGTGCAATTTTATGGCAAAAGCAAGTCTTCGCAAGACTGCACATTAGGCGGAACAAAGGACAATTTATCATTTGGGGACTTTCAAAGAAATGCAAATATTCACAAGTCTGACAAATCTTGGCAATTTATAATAATTTGTAAACATATCTTCAGCCATGAATGCTTTACACCTATCGCTCACCTTGTATGATATCGTGGATGCATCTGGCAATCTGCATACTAGATTGAATAATTATATTTTTTATTTAAAGGTCAACATTTAATTATTGATAAAATGCTATTCTCCTGACTTGGGAGATTTGAGCTTCAATTCTGTCGCCTTTAGTGTTAAAAAATTGTCTATATGCAAATGTTGTCTCTTAAGTAAAAGTAGGAAGCCCCATCGTCAGAAGGTTGAAGAGAGAGAGGGAAAGAGAGGCAGTCTTCGAGAATAAATAAGAAACATGCTGTCTCTTAAAAATAACGACAAATGGGACGATTCAAACAAAATCATGTGTCAGTACTCCAGAGACTACCAGCGAGCTACGCACACCCAATGGCTGTCTTATCCTTCCTGTGGGAAGTCGGGTGAAGATCTGCATTTTGTGGTAATCTTTAGCCTAAAATTGAAAGTCTTAAATTATACTTGCGATATACCTGATCTCGTAGACGAGGTGATCATATTACACAAGTCTACTGATCACGTTCTTGTTACATTTTGTTTCCCAGGGAGCTAGAACGTTGGATTTCTGGTAGATTTTTCAGACAGTCCTTTATTTGAGGTCCATAAAAGTTTCTTCCGGTTATTCGCTCTTACACGTCTTTAGCGACAACATCTGACTCGTAACGGCTTTACTTCACCAAGACTACTAAAAATAATTGATATGCTGACATAAAACGAGATCAGGCTTTAAATCTTGGTGCCAAGACGTAAATAGCACAATTAATAGAACCGCCTTAGGCAGATTGATTCAATGCACATGCATATTTGTCGAGGCCGTATTCAAAATAAAAGGTTCAAGTAGAAGCGTCGCCATCTAAGGGTTTCTGTCTCCGCCGCACAATAACTGCCTCGGAAAATATCAATGTTAGTTTAATACTCATATACTCGAGACATTTGCACGCCAACTTGAGGCCAGAGTGTCTATCCAAATATCCATCCCGCGGCTTCGAAATGATAAAAATATGAAAAGAATGCCTACTTTCATATTTACATATCATTAGGTGAACCGAAGCCTATCTGTTGACACTCGAGTCAATTTAAAGGATATTCCTATTTGTTTGAGTTGGACTTCGTTCTGATAATTGGTATCTTCCCCAATCATTCTTCAACCATTTTTAACGTTTGACTAAGACCTTTAACAACCATAGGTAGTGAAAGATAATGGAGGACGGAGTGCATTTTCCCACAATCAAACGAGTAGGCCTCATGAAGCATTTGAATTTCACTTAGCTCTGCTTCCTAATGGTATTCTCGTTCAGAGAATATGGCGGGAAAAATTTAAGCAAGGAGTCGATCATTGGCTTTACGAATTTAGTAATAAATAGTAAATAATTAACCCTTAATGATAAATTGTATGAGACTACACGAGGCTTTAGCGAATAACCTCATAGCTCATTTGGAGGTTTGCCCAATTTAGATGGATTTCGTATTTCGAATCCTGGGTCTCATCAGCTCCCCTAATCTTAGTCGAGCCCAGTTCGTGAAGCATATGATTTCGACATATTACCACAACGCCACAAGTTTGAGTTGATAACAACCAGAAAGTTAATATCAAAGCAAGAAGGGCCTATGCCAATATTTTCGTGAGTAACTAAGTCTTCAAGACTCTCATGGAGTTGTTTTCACCCTATTTCGTTTAAGGTAATGAAGGAATGGTAGTTGAATTTTCATACAATGGTATGACTAGAATTGACGCTTTCATTGAGTTTCACATAGATTTCATTCCCAAAAGTTGTTCTCATCCAGGTTGGACTGCAGTTTCGACCTCGCATAGGCCTTATCATCACCCCAAGCGGCACAAGAACCATGACAGTAGCGTGCAAGCTCGAAAGATTAACCACTATGTCATATCACAATGAGTTCAATTGGGGCAGATGTGAATTTCAAGAAATGTCAAGTATTTTCCATATCACATTATTTGTTGTGATAGTCGATGAAGCAAACTTATATTTCGTATTACAATCGACGACATTACTTTTTTCGTTGGTGAGTAGGCTGTATAGACCACCAGTAAAGCATATATAAAAGTTATTTTCACCCTATTTCATTTAGCGTGATGCAGTGGACACGAGGAGTGACTGGATTTAGATGAATATTCGGAGATAACATTGTTGGGAGGACTTTCATTTCGCTTTAAATTACATGAAGAAGATATTCGTAGGGCGATCTTACTAGAAGAGGACGGTTGAATCCCGTTGTACTGTAGCCATTTGGCTTTTATAAGACGTTCAGTTTGACGCAGTTTATGAGACCTCCACCCTCACTTCGGATGAAAACGGCCTGAGCTTCCGTCCATCAAATGATGGACATCATCAGAGCTGGAATACATTCTTGTATAAGTCTCAAGTTAATGCTAGGACAAGAAGACTTTCAGGCTATATCTAACCTCTTTTCTAGACTTACTTAAGCAAAAGAATATAAAAAATTTAAATAGATACAAATGGTTTAGCTAATTATCTTTCGTATTGGTCCTGCTAATTTTTTGTTCGAGTGTCTGTGTGTGCCTAGCATCTATTTTATCATTAATGGTAACTTATACGAACAAACACAAGGATTTGCGATGGAATCTTGCCTGGCTCCTATCTTGGTGAACGATTATATGGCAAGACTTGAGGAACACTTCCTGCAAGAGGCAATAGTAACCCCTAAATTCTGGGTTAGATACATGGATGACTACTCTGCCATCTAGACTCACGGTAAGGAAAGTTTAGATAGATTCCTACTTTCACTTCACCAACGTGAGAGGAACATTAAGTTCACAATGGAAATGGAAGAGAATAAATCCTTACCCTTTCTGGATGTTCTCATCATTAGAGACCAGCATTAAGTATAGACGTTAACACACTCACACACACGCACACACACACGCACATTCGAGCAAAAGTAGCAGGACCAGTATGAAAGATAATTAGCTAAACCATTCTATATCTATCTAGGTTTATAATTTTATTTTCCATAATTGAATCTAAATAAGAGGTAAAATCGAGCCAGATAGCCTTCTTGCCCTAGTGTTGAGGTGAGACTTTTACAGGAATGAGACCCAGCTCTGATGATGTCCATCATATGATGGTCGAAAGCTCAGTCCGTTTTCACTCGAAACGAGGAAGGGGGTTTCGTGGACTGTGTCAACCGGAACGTCGTATAAAAGCTAAGCGGCCGTCCTCACCTGGTGAGATTGACTTAAGAATCTCTTCTTCATGCACTTTCATAAGAAATGAAATTTTTCCTTCCCCCAACAAATATATGCTTTATTGGTAGTCTCGAACACCTACTTACTCACGAAAAAAATAATGCCGTCGAGTGCTATAGCAAATGAAAGTTTGCTCCATTGACATACATAATATGATATGGAAAATGCCTGATATGCCTTGAAATCCACATCTGCCCTGTAACCCACTTGCACTCGTTGCAATGTGGCGCAATCTTTAATGTGTCGAGCTTACACGCTGACCTATGCGAGGTCGAAACTGCAGTCCACACTGGATGAGAACACCTTTTGGGAAAGCTAGACTATGTGTGAACCAATGGAAAGCATCAGCGTCACTCATATCATTGTGGGAAGAACCAAATATCAGTCTTTCATTACCTTAAACGAAATAGGCTGAAAACAACTCATCTATGCCATTTTGTTGAGGCAAACATGTTTTTGTCACGCTACTTATATTCGAATCAAGTAGGACTTCGAGACTTTCCGTAGATCTTAAATAAGAGCCTTAGTCAATTTAGGTCGCTTCCAGTGGTATAGGACTGATATTGAAGTTTCGAATAATCAGATAAATGGTCTTCATGATGCAATTAAAATGCACTTATCCCTGCTTTCAAAAGCTATTTCTATCCGAATTTGACTGATGGTCGAATATATTGTCTGGCTATTCTCTGAGATATCAAGTAGGACTTGTTCATTTCCCAAGAAGACAGAATAAAGGAGGATGCAGCAAAAGTGCTCATCAAAAATTTTGAAAATATACAAAGGCAACAAGGTTGACAGGTCTCGCATTTCTGTTTGCGGACTCTAAGCAAAAGCTAAATCAGCAAACCCTGTGGCTTGAGCTTTGCAAGACGGCGGCCTCATTCTGGCTTTTGCAGATTTGACGGAAACTACTTGCTCCTTGGCAGGACTTTGGTCTTCACTTTCCTGTTGACGGGCTGGTCAGGTTTTCCGTTAGGCCTTTTGCAGGCCACATCGATTGGGACTGGCTGAGGCATGGTTTCCGGTTGCTGGTTGTACTTCGTCATGTGAACGGCAACGGAAGATCGTGCATCCGTCGACCGGTCTCTGACCTGCAGACCGGCCTTTTTGACGGCCAGAAGGCCATACGCAAACGTGGCTTCTCGTGTCCAGGAGTCGGTGCAAGCGTCTGAGAAGACACTCATGCTGGTCGTGTCGTCAGGGCAGGAAATGAGGGTGGAGAACGCCGTCTCAGAACTGGCCTCACAGTCAAACTGATCGAGCAGAGAAGAGGAGTCCGTGGAGAGTGTGGACGCCGTAGAGGGCGAATCAGAGTCCCGAGAATAGGCCCTTGAAGCATCGTTCCGCCTCAGCTTCTTCGTGACGAGGCAAAGCGGCGGCTTCGGCTTCCTTCCGCCTTGAGGGTTGATGGCCGAGCTGGGCACCGGAGACCTGGCAGTGGCTCCTGAGGAGGCGCAGGTGATCGCCTCCACCTCTTCGGGTAGCGAGGAGCTGGTGACCATGAATTCGGCCAGTCGGTCCACTTGACTGTCGATGACGTTGATGCGCGTGAACAGTCCGGCCAGTTCGGCCGTGAAGTCGCGTCTGATACGGGCCATCTCGGCCTGCACCGATTCAACACAGCTGGACGCGCGGACGGTGGTACCAGTGGCGACAGTGGCCGCCTGTGATGCCGCGCTTCTTCGCTGCCTCAGCCTCGCTGATGCCGGGCTCTGGGAATCTTGTGTTGACGCAAGTCTGAGGGCCAAATGGGCCGGGCCAGAGGTCGTCTCCTGGCTGATGAATATGGGCTCGGATTTCTGAATCTGCTCGCAGGGCTGGCATAAGACAAAAATATGTAAAGATTATGATTCTGGAAGACATGGGCATTTTTTGTGGTCGCAGTCTCCTTTCGTTGTCTCTTTGACGAGTTGTAGTGTGGTGCTAAGAATGGCAATGCTCACTGACGATGCCGACTACGATGCCAGCGAAACGTCTCAGAATGTACCACGTCCACGGTCCGAATCTGGACTCAGGACTAGGCGCGTTCCTCAAGGTCTTCCTGCCAATATGAGTAAGTTACGAATACAGGGTCAAACAACTTCTATTAAGATTCTGGGTTTGTACTTCATTTGTGCATTTGAGTCGGGGCAACCTTGTGCAATGTAGTTGGACCTGCGCTCTCAGACATGGTGGTTATGGTGATCGTCGAGTTCCTACATTCATCAGTAGAGGAGTCATTCTTAGAGCAGAGTTACAACGCATCAAAGTAACAAGTAAAGACAATCATCCTGACGAATTTTCTCTTCACTCTCTCCCTCCTAGTGCCGTATCCTCCTCCCTCAGCCCCACTTCATAGGGTCAATTCATCTAGACGACATTGAAATGAACCAGATATGGAAAAGTGTCGATAGGCAAATTATCCATATAAAGCAGAGCTGAGAGGTGAGGATTCAGCAATAGTAGGTAAGCTAGGGAAAAATGAGATGTCACAACGGTTGAATAAAAATGTCGTCAGGTCTTTATTTGCCAATTTGATAAGTTGTAACTCTGTGCTAAGGATTCCACCGCTTACTGACGAATATGCCATGCCAACGATCCGTTGCTGGAAATGATCATGAATACAGAGGATGAAGGAGTCTCCATTTAGTGATGAATATGGGGTCCGCGTTCTAGGCTTGCTCGGCT